CTGTACCTGGGCCTCGCTCGGAAGGTCGGCTTCGAAGGTGTCTCGGTGTACTTTGACATTAGCAAGTTCTACGAGCGGATCGACCACGGGCTGCTGCTGAACGCGGCCGAGCTGAATGGTTTCTGCACAGGATTGGTGCGTGCGCTCTGCGTGGCGTACTCGGGTCCGAGGCGAGCTACGGCAGACAGCGCCGTCAGCGAGGAGATACATGCGGGGGGCACGGTCATAGCTGGCTGCTCGTGTGCAACAACGATGGCCAGACTCATGCTGATGGACCTTCTTGTCAAGAGCCGAGCCAATCTCCCCATCGGGAGGATCGTCAACGTGATTGACGACATCTCGGGCACTGGTATCGGATCCAGAGGTGTGCCAGTCAGCCAGGTGAACAGCTTTGTCCAGGGCGTCGTGGCGATGCTGAGGGACAAGCGGCTCCCGATCAACTGGGGCAAGACGAAGGTGCTGGCATCCTCAGTGGACACCCAGCGCGAACTGATGAAGCAGGAGGGGTGGCCGCCGGACAGGGACGCCTTTGCTCAAGGACACCGAGATCTCGGTGGAGACGCGACGGCTGGTGGCCACCGCATGGTGGCGACGCAGGTCAAGCGGGAGCTGGATGCACTCCGTCAGGCAGCGAGACTGACACGCATCTTCGGGCCTGGGCTGCGGCAAGCTCGGGTGATGCGAGCTGGGCCGACCGCCAAGGCGCCCTGGGGCTCGGCCATCTCTGGAGTTCCACCTGGGCGCATGAGGGCGCTGAGGGTGGCCGCGGCGAAGAGCGCGGGTCGCCTGCCGCCTGGAGCGGCCTTCAGCTTTGCACTGCAGTGTGCGCCCCGTGGCTGGCGGCAGGACCCGCTGGTGGTCGCAGTGGGAATGGCAGCGCAGGCATTCGTCAACGTGGTGTGGTCTGGGCAAGCCTCTGCTGCAGCCATCCAAGCGTGCATCCACGAAAGCCAGCAGGTGCTAAGCAAGCAGCGGCCTTGGAGCTCAGTCCGTCAGCCGATAGCGGCGCTCACGCTCACTCTGCAGAGGATTGGCTGGCAGCTCGCCATCGACGGCACCAAGCTGCTGGACGAGGACAAGAGAGAGTTCGAGGTGCTGCATTTCTCGCCCGGTTTCCTGGCGGAGTGGGCCAGAGAGGCCACGAGGAAAGCGGCCGCGCTGGAGGAGGCTCGTGATCGTCCTGGGTCGCTCTGGCCATGGAAGCTGCCGCCACAGTGGAGGCCAGTCAACGAGCTGCTCGGCAAGAAGGAGACGGAGACCTGGACTGGGCACCACAAAGGGTGCCTCCGCTGGCTCGTCTCGCTCTCGCACTGGCCCCAGGACCGCCTTGCGAGGCACTCCTCGGACATCGACCCGATCTGCAAGCTATGCCAGGCTGCACGAGGAACGATGTTCCACAGGCACCACGTTTGCCCAGCTTGGGAACCTTGGCGGCGCGACAGGCTGCCGCCCGACCTGAAGCGTGCAGCTTGGGTAGTCCACGAGATGGGTCCGCCGTTCGATGAGCTGTTCTGCCAGGGCCTGTTCGTGGATCCCTCCCAGCTGTTGCACCGCCCGTGCTGGCAGCCTCAGTGGGAGCGGCTCTCGCATGGTTGGCATGAAGCAGTTGTGGTCGAAGACGGTGCCATGGTTTTCTTCGACGGCTCCTGTATCCTCGGGGACTTTCCGCGCCTGCGCAGCGCTGGCTGGTCGGTCGTCGTTCTGTCCAAGGAAGGGGCGATCCTAGCAGAGGCGTGGGGAGCTGTTCCCCCTAGTCTATGCCCATCGCAGACGGCACGTGCTGGAGAAGACTACGCAGCGGTGGTGGCGCTCACGGAGGTCATTGGCAATTACCAGCTGCTGGTCGACTGCAAGGGCACAGTGGACTCGGCGCTCAACCTTGGCAGAGCTCAGGGCCCAACCTCGACCTACGCCCATCTTTGGACCAGAGTTGGGGACGCCGCGGAAGGTGTGGAAGTCAAGCGCATTCCTGCACATCGGTCAGAAGCAGCTGTGGCCAGAGGGGAGCTATCTGCCATCGAGCTCTTCGGCAACCGCCTAGCCGACAAGCGAGCGAAGGAAGGAGCCGCCCTCCACGCCCTTCCTGCCGACGATGTCCAGCTCCTGGAGGGCTGCTTAGCCAGGGCTCGCGACGCAGCCCGCTTCGCCGCAGAGATCGAGGTCTTCATCGCGGGTTCTGGGATGCGAGACTGCTGGCCGACGGAAGCCCTGGACAACGTCAACCTCCAGCCGTACCTCTACCCGTGGAACCTGTCGTGGGAGTACGAGGACTACGACTTGTTGGACGCCTCCACGGCGCAGCGTGGCAGAGGCTCGGCAGCTGCGTCAGCGGCAGCCTTCGCCGCGGCGGCAGCGACCAGCGCAGCGGCCACAGGCGCAGCGGCAGGCGCCGCGGGTGGCGCAGCTGGGCCTACTCGAAAGCGCCCAGCGGCTGCGCTGAGGGCCGCATCCGCCCCAGCCGCCCCCATCGCTGTGGGGCCAGGCGAGGAGGGCAGGCATCGTGCTGAGGCAGCGAGCGAGGTGTTTGCCAGAGAGGTTCGGCGCAGGGCGGAGGCCAGGTCGGCAGCAGAGTCCTCTCAGCACACCCAGCTAGAGGAGCAGCGCCCGTCACCTGCCCCCACGGCTGGACCAGAGCCATGGGTAGTGCACGGCCACAACATTATGCAGACCAACGTGGTGAGCAAGCCGAGCGAGGCCATCCTGGTGTGCACGCGCTGCTTCACGTACTGCCACCAGCCGCGGTATGCGCGCAGGGGCCTGGCCAAGTCGTGTGTCGGTGGCGATCACAGATCGAGCCAAGGGTCGCGTGCTCAGGCCAGGACTGACTTCGGCAGATTGCGATTGCCAGGCAAGGAGAAGCCGCCGATCGTGATGCTCAAGTCGCCGACGTTGGAGGAGATGCAGCGCTGGCGAAGGTCGCTCAAGGTGGATGACCTCGGCTGGCCCAACCCCCAGGTGGGCGAGCTCCTGGCGGCGGCGCGGGCTGGCGGCCCAGGAGGCTCGCCAAGGCCTGCGGCTGCACAGCCTGCGGCGGGGCGTGCTGCTGGCGCGGCTGGGCCTGCGGGCGGTGCGGCGGCGGCTTCGGCGAGCGCCTCGGCAGCCGTGGGCGCGGCGGCGGTGCAGCCCGCGGTGCGCGCGGGCTCGCAGGTGCTCTCAGTGCCCGACCTGGAGGGCGTCCTCCGCGCGCACGGCTTCGCGTCGGCGGACGACGCCCGCGCCCGAGGGCGAGAGGCAGCCCAGGTGCGCGGGGAGCGTGACCGCGCGCTGGAGCGCGGCGAGGCGGCCCCGCGGGCGGCGAGGAGGCGGGGCCGACGCTGGTGAGCGCCCCCTCGGCCGCCGTGGGGCCCTCGGCAGTCCCGCGCCGTTTGCGCGGGCCTGCGGCCCGCTGAGAATATGTGGCATGACCACGCGGGGGCTTCCGCCCGCTCGAAGAGTAAAAAAAAAATGCCCCCACCGTAAGCTCAACCAAACATGTCGCGTCGGTTTCGCTCTGCCTGCCAGCCTCGCCCTCTTCCTCCACCCAAGTTCTCTCCCATCTTCTGTCAACGAAGCACCTTTCAATAAAAAACACGAGGACGACCGATTGAGGTAAACTACGACGACGCCGACAACGAGGACGACGAGGAGGAGGATCACGAGGAATACTGAGAAAAAGAACAGGGAAACGCTCCACCGAAGCAGATCCCTATGGGTATGCGAGCCATGCCGTGGCAGATCCCCACAGGTATTGCCATCCGCGCTGTTCTTGCTTACCCCTCAGCGTTCCCAGACGGCGCCGGCGCGAAACGCGACGTAACCAGGGGCGGGGGCGGGGCAGGGAACGGCCGCGGTCGCGAAGCATAAAACGTTCTCGGGGGCGTTGGCGGCCGCCCGCCGCCCGCCCAGCGCGCCGCGCGCCACTCGTTCGCCGCTCGCCGCTTGCCGCCGCCACGGTTGTGGCCGCGTGCCGCCCGCGGTCATCCGCCGGGCGGGCGGCGGGAGGCGGTGGCAGCCGCCGCCAGAATCGTCGCCGCCGCCGCAGCCGCCGCGCGCCGCTCGTTCGCCCGCCGCTGGCCGCCGCGGTGGCCGTGGCCGTGCCCCGCCCGCTGCGTGTCACCGTCGTGGAACGGTCGTCGGCGGTTTTGGTTCTCGCTCCCTGCTCGCGGGCGGTGGCTCATATGCTGGGTTCCAGGGCCCGCTCGTGGGGGTCGTCGCACCTCCGCTGGTTCTAAGGTTGTGTGTCGACGCGGTCGGTCGCAGGCGATGTTTCTCCCCCGACACCCTGACTTTTCGTCGAAAAATGAAGCCGCTCAGAAAAGGAGGGAAACCCTGGGATACACCCCCAAGGGGCTATTCGTACGCAGCCCTATCGAGGATGAACGCCCCCCCCCATCGTATATCCCAGGGCTGGGCCAACAACATTTGGTCCAGTCGACACCTCTCAAAGCATGGGGTAGGGGTCGACATATCCCTTGTTTGTCGGGTGTCGGCACATGTGCTAGTTCCATGTGTGACAGCTTGATCGGGGAGATCCCTGCGTCCCACTAGACAGTCCCATCAGCGCATCCAGAGACGATGCCCAGCGAGCTGCCCTGAACTGTTAGAGGTTCCTGGAGGCGTCTGGGGGTCTTCGGCCCGGTCTTGGGACGCACGGGGAGGGGGTAGAGGGAGGGGTCAAGCCAAGCCGCAAGCCGTGTCGTTCACTCCCATCCGCCCTCCCAACACAGCAGCATCCGAGCTTGGGGCCCCGCTCCCACTGAGTTCATGAGTCCCGTCGGAAGCACAGATCCGACAATATGAGGGCACCTTCGCCGTTCTTGTCGAAAAGAATGCAACATGATCGCGGGGCTCCCTCCCCGAATGGGAACAAGGGGAAAAGATGGAAGAGGAAACGCTCTGAACCACCTCAGCCAAGAGGGATGGTGGGATCTTTGGCGTTCCCTCATTTTCTGTGCTTGCGTGGGGCGGAGGGGACGCGAGCGCGACCAGAGAGCAGCAGGGCGAGCCGCCGCTGTCGGGAGGAGCGCTGCCCGGGCAGCGTTCTCGGAGCTGATGCTGGGAGACGAGTGTCGCCAACCGCCTCTTGCGCGCCTGCGGCTGAGAGGGAGGGAGGGGGCAAGTGATGGGCAACGTTAGAGGGGGATCGGCTCGAGGTGTTCGGCTCGACGTTTGAGGTTTTCTGGCGTTCTTGCTGGCTCTCGGCGGTTTTCTAGCCTCGGTGTGATCTCCGGCAGCCGCGCCTCACCGAGGGCGTTCTGGGGGTGCCTGAATCGTCCCGAACGGCCGCCAGAGTGCAGAGTCATGACCCGATCAAGCGGCAACGTAAGGGAGGATATGATCAGGGGGTGACACATCGACCCCCAATCGCCCATGGATCGCCGGCAAGAGGCCCACAGCCGACCCCGTTGAGGAACGTGCGGGTTTCCCCATCGGGGGCGGATCGCCGATCCGTCAGCGACTATAAATAAATGTTCCCTCCCTGAGCTGGCCCCCATCCCTGACGTTACCCATCGAAGAGAGTGGCAGCAGTTAGAAGCCAGGCGAAGGCTGGCAAACCCGTGGCTGCTAAAACGGAGTCCTGGAAAATTGTTGATTTCTTCTGGGAAGCAGCCCGTTTATTATTTAGTGCGCTGAGTTTTATTCCGGGAATTTGTTTTATTCTTCCTCCGGGAAGACCGTTTTAGCAGGCACGGATTTGCCAGCCCTCGCCCAGCTTCCGAAGCAGGGGTTCGGGGAACAGGCCATGGCATAAACATAAACACTCGGCGGTCCGTGCGCCAGGAGCGGCGCCACAGGCGCCGCCAGGGGGTTCCAGCGCAGATCCGAGGAATCTTGGCGGACCTCTGAATTTTATGTTTATGTCACTGTCTGCGCTTCCCTATCAGAGGGAGCGGCAGGGATGAGCAGGGTTCGGGGCAAGGGTCGGGAGGTGCTGCAAGGCGGTCGTCGGTCTCTCTGGGTGTCTCCGTTTGCGGGGGGGGCCCTTCCACGGGCTGGGGCTCGGTGGGAACTGGCGCTGGCGCCCCAGTTGGCCTTCTCCTCGGGCCGGTCGAAACGGGCACGGAGCAAATGGCCATTGATCATGTGTCATGTGGGAGCTTTGAGACGGGGGTCAATGCAAGCGGGGGTCAGCCAGAGCGCTGGATCTTGCAGGGTCCTGCAAAGCCAGTGTTGCACTGACCTGGGCTAGTGCCCAAGAGCCTGCAGGAGCTTGCAGGATTTCACAAGGTTTGACTGACCCGAGGTTGCATCGGGGCGAGCCAGCAGAAGCCCCAACGGTGGTTCTGAAGACCTCCCGAGGTTGCCTCCCAACATTTGCTCCCCTCGCAGGCCTAGAGGTTGACACCAACACCAATATCGGCGGTTTGCTTCCACCGAGGGAAGAAGATCCCGATCTCGGTGATGGTGGTAATATTCTGGCTTCCAAGGTGACCGAAATATTACCACCAACACCGAAATCTAGGATCATCTTCCCCATGTGTTGGTGCCCATTTCCAGCCCTCCAGTCTCCTCCTCCCCGCTCCTCCTGCCTCAAGAGCCGACCACCGGGCGCGCTCTGCCCATTTTTGTCGATACGGGTCTGGCCGTTGCGGGGTGGGCTCCGCAGGAGGGCCCAAGACACAGGGCACTCTTGCGAAGACCTTCTCGATCCTCCTCGATCCCTGATTAAACATCTTCACATGTCTGATTGCTAGAAGGTGGGGGAGGCCCATCGCTTATTTCCCGAGCTGGGAGGGGAAGAGCTGATCTCCCGATCGAGGCGAGCTTCGTCTTGGCCGAAGCCATCGCAGCAGAGCGTTGCCGTGGCCTTTCTCACTGTCCCCCCCATTCGGTCGGTGGCCAGTGGGTGGGCACACGGCGGGGGCCTCGTTGGGAAATGGAAGGACAGGAAGGGCGAGGATCAGGATCGAGTAGGAAATTTCAGCATGCATGAACTTCTGGAGGTCAGCGCGAATATTTCGGGTCGGCGCTGGGTCGACCGTGGTGGCGCCTCCCTCCGCCGCCCCTGGAGTGCGCCGCGCGCCAGAAGACGGGTGTTCAGCGCCGATGCGAGAAGTCCGCGCGCACCTCAGGGCATCGATGTGTACGCACAGAAGTTTTCTCAGTCTACGACATCAGGAGGGGGGGGGGAGGAGGGATGGCGCCGGGGACGGAGGGAGGAGGAGGAGGAGGAGCAGGGACCCCCGATCGCCCCTCAAGTCGCAACGCCGACGCCAGGGGAGGGTGGGCTCAGGGGGGGATGTGTCGGCCCCTTTATCGCTCATTGATTGCCGGTAGGGGCCCGATCGCTCTCTCCGCCCGGGAACGTGTTGCCTCGCTTTTGGGGGTGGCATATCGCCGACCTGTCGGCGAGATATCGCCGATTCCAAGTCGGTGTTTCCCCCCAGAGCCGGTCCCCCCCCATCGTTTTCTGGCGTGGCGCAAGGATGGGGCGATGAGCGGTGGGGTGAAGCAAGGCGCTATTTTGGTGCCTTGGGAGCCCCCTGGGACCCCAAGCGGGCATGAAAGGTGTAGCTTCTTCGCCCCCCGTGTGTATCGCCCCCCAATGAAGCATCGCCCAACCTTGGCCCTCAGAGGAGGATGAGGAGGAGAAGGAGCAGGAGAAGGAGGATACCATCACAGGCTCTGGGGGTAAGGCTAGGGTTAGTCGACCCGACCTAACCGAAACCTTGGTTACATCCTCTCTCCACTGACGCTCGTTTCGGCCTGCATCTCCGCCCCTTGAGGAGCTGGGCGGCAGGGATGGGCTGGGAAAGACGGGAGCGTGCCAATGACCTGCTTTTGGGGTGCTGGCCGCCTGCCAGAAAGGACCACGTATTCTGGGAAAACCTGCCTTGGAAGCTTCCTTTGCCCTCACCCTCGAGTCCCTGGAGGTTGCTCTCCGAGTGGCGGCCGCACCGCTTGCACACGACAAGGGAATCGCTCTCCATCAGGGTAGCCACACATCATAAGGTAGTGTTTCAGGGGGTCACGAATCAAAGTCGACCAGGCAACATGATTACTTGGGCATGCTTCCAGCATGCAGGCCTTGCGGGTGCTGTCGGTTCTGGCGCGGGTGTGGCAAGCTTGGCGCAGCCAGTGTTCGTTCAGCCATGCCCGCTGATGGCGGTGACGGTTCACCCCCTACGGGTTACGGCACGCAAGAGCACGCCGAGGAAGACCCGCAGGGGGCTGGGGGGCCGTTCAGGCCTTGACCGCACCAGCAGCACCAACAGGAGGATTGAGGCACTTGGGTGGCCTCTCGAAGACCCTCTTGCCCGCCTTCGGGGCAATAGGAAACCACTGAGACAACGCCTCTGCCGCGTACTTCACACATCAACGCTCTGACTTATGAAACTCAAGCTCCAACTTGGACGGGGCAGGGATCAGGGAAGCTGCTTGCTTGGCAACTCTGCCCGCCCAACCGTTCCCCTCGGCAACATACCACTCCCTCGAGCACTCCTCCAGGGCATGGAAGTCCTGGTCGGCCTTCACTGTTTAGACCTCGAGGGAGCTAAAACTGCCCTGGGCCCTGGCCAAAACAGAACTATCTGCATACATGTCTTTCATACTGACCTTTGGGCCCTGGTGGACCGAGAGGATGCCTTTGAAGTCCGTCCACGCCGCGGTGGCCCTGGGACAGAAGGCAGCAGCTAGAAATCCCAAGTGCTCGGCAGCGGGCGACGCGGGAGGCAGGCTGGCCCCCTGCGGGGCCTGAGACGCTGGCAACAAGGTAAGGTCGCCACCCTCGTTGATTTTGACCACGGACCAGGCGGAGGCGTCGTAAACCGTGGGCCCAGGTTTTAAACCACGGCCGTCGTGAAACACTTCTCCTTCCATGGCAACCTACCTCCTTGGGCTGACCATCTCTTGGCCAGTAGACTGCCCCATCTAGAAGACCTAATCCTGGGGGCCTCAGAGCTACAGGTTCGGGCAACAGCTGGAAACCCAGGACTGACGGGAAACCTCTCTTCGGGTCCGTGCACGTCTCCTTCCTCCAACTTCTATTGACGCAGGTTCTGGGTACCTGGGCATTCGAAGAGCCCGTGGGGGAAGGGGGCCCTCGGGGCCTTGACACATCTCGCAAACCACCTCGGTGTGATAACCTAATGTGGCCATCTTCTCTGTTCTCCACATGCACTGGCATGCGTCGGACAGCAGCGTCTTTCGCATGTGGCCTGGCAGCGAGGTGTCCTGCAGCGCGCGATGCATGGCTGACGGGTCGAGCGGCTCGTCGGGTCCTAGTTTGCGGCGTGCCTGCAAGTCAAGTTGCCGCCGCCGCTGGGCCTGAAACAACTTCTTAACGAGGGTTGGGGAGGTCGTGATGAGGGGGGGGGTCCTGACCGTTGACATCCTGGAGTAGAAGCGAGTCGGGCATTGTCCACCCCAGACGGTTCAGACTGAGGAGCGCGGCCCCAAGAGCGCCTCGAACTTCTTGCCATTCCCTCGGGGGCGTGCGGGTAACCTCCAGGGCTTGGGCTCTTAGGTGGGGGATCGTGTAATCGATGGCCCCAGGGTAGTGACGGGCCTAGAATCGGGGTGCAGGGCTGGAACTAAACGGTGTTTTTGGTGATTACGTGGGCCTTTTTCGTTTCGACTTCGTTTTGCGGTAAAGGCGGATTCGAGACAAAAGCGAGGGAAACCGAAAACAAAACGAAAACGGAAAACACCGTTTAGGTTCAGCCCTGCGGGGTGCATCTGTTCCGAGGCGTTTCGGAGCGTTGTCAGCGCGTTTCCGGGACGTTCTGGCACGGCCGCAGCGCCCGACATGTCTTCTAAACCCGCCGATCCTCAGATTTCCGGTTTATCTCGGTCCGATTTTGTCTCGATTCTGCCGTCTTCTTCGGCGACGACGGTCGGCGGCGGCGGCGCCGCCCCCGCCCGCCGTGCGGCGCCCGTGCCACCGCGAGGTCCCCACCCGGTCGCGCGGCGCGGGCTGCATCGGCCCGCGGCCCGCGAGAGCGCGCGCGGGGCCCGAGGCCGCACCGCGCGTGCGCTCGGCCTCCCATCGGCACCGCTCGGGCGTGCGTCGGCGGCGAGCGAGGGGGGGAGTGATAAGGAGAAGTCGGCCACGCGCGGAGGGGGGCGGGGTGAAGGCTTCTTGGACGGAGGCGGCTTGTTTTAAGATGCGGGCTTGACATCTGTAGATCCTGTAGGTGTGAGGCCCGGGCCTTTCAGAAGCAGTCTCCTCAGAAGGAACCTTCCTCCCTCCCCCCACCCCCCTTGCGCGCGCCGCCAAAGAGGGCTCTCTCGGGGGAAGGCCCAGAAAGCCTCTCAGAAGGTCGGGGAACTTCGAGCCTTCTGAGGTGGCCCGCCCCTTCTCACTTGCTCCCCTGGCTCGCCGCCGAGGGCGCTTTTTCTGGTCGAGGAGCGTCGAGGAGGTGTTTAGTTATTTGTCCCCCCTGTTTCTCTCGGCGGGGAATGAACTCGCCCTTCAATTATTTTTCGTTGTAGATATGAGAGAGCGCGCCCACAGGGCCCGAGCAAAGGGGAGGGGGGGCTAGGCTTAAGCTACCCCCCCTCCCTTGAGCCGCCCTTGTTGGAAGCACACCCCCCCTCCCCCCTTTTTTTTTGCAAGGGGGGGAGGGCTTACAGCTACCCCCCCCTCCCCCCTTGAGCCCTCCCCGGAAGCTACCCCCCCCCCTCCCCCCCTTTCCAAAGGGGGGGGGGGTGCTTAAGCTACCCCCCCCTCCCTTGGCGCCGCCCTGCTGGAAGCTACCCCCCCCCTCCCCCCCTTTCGTGCAAAGGGGGGGGGGGCTTGGAAGCTACCCACCCCCCACCCCCCTTTGGCCGCCCCGGAAGCTACCCCCCCCTACCCCCCTTTCCGGGGGGGTGCTTAAGCTACCCCCCCCTCCCTTGGAGCCGCCCTGCTGGAAGCTCCCCCCCCCTCCCCCCCTTTGTGCCAAAGGGGGGGGGGGCTTGGAAGCCCCCCCCCCCTTCCCCCCTTTGGCCGCCCAGCCCCCGGAGCCTCCGCCCTCCCTTTCGCCGACGATCCAAAATGAACAATCCACGATCGAGGATGGACGATCGACGATCAACGATCGACGATCGAAAATCCCAATCGAATCGCTTGCAATCGATTGCACTCCATTCCACTGCAATCCCCCTCCCCACCTCCCTCCGCTCCCTCCCCTCCCTCCCCACCCTTCGTTCCATCTCCTCCCTCCCCTCCCTCTCCTCCCCTCCCTCCCTTCCGTCCTGTCCCTCCCCTGCAATCCAATCGATTGAATCGATTGCAATTCAACCGATTGCAATCCAATCGATTGCAATCCAATGGATTGCAATCGAATCGTTTGCAATCCAATGGATTGCAATCGATTGCAACGCAAGTGTATCATTCAACTCGTCCCGTGCCAACGCCCGGGAACGAAAAATTACCCTGGCGACGTACCCAACCCCTGCGCAAACGCGGGGCGCAAATAGTTTAGGACACTTTATAAGGGGGGCGATGACGGAGCGAGGGTTACATATGTCTGCAGACGGAATTCGGGAGACTCGCAGGACACTGGCTTCAGGACAAGGACTAGATAAAGCTGATTAGTTGCAATCCCTGAGCAACCCTAGCCACTTCGAAAGCGGGGATCTCAGATCGCAGCCCCCCAGGGATGGCGAGGTCTAATTTGGGTCCGCGCGTGGCGTCACTGTGCTGGGCCCCCCAGCAGGCCTCGAAAGTGGCGACAGTTTCACAGATCGCAGCCCCCCAGGGATGGCGAGGTCTAATTTGGGTCCGCCGTGGCGTCACTGTGCTGGGCCCCCCAGCAGGCCTCGAAAGTGGCGACAGTTTCACAGATCGCAGCCCCCCAGGGATGGCGAGGTCTAATTTGGGTCCGCCGCGTGGCGTCACTGTGCTGGGCCCCCCAGCAGGCCTCGAAAGTGGCGACAGTTTCACAGATCGCAGCCCCCCAGGGATGGCGAGGTCTAATTTGGTCCGCGCGTGGCGTCACTGTGCTGGGCCCCCCAGCAGGCCTCGAAAGTGGCGACAGTTTCACAGATCGCAGCCCCCCAGGGATGGCGAGGTCTAATTTGAATCCGCGTGGCGTCACTGTGCTGGGCCCCCCAGCAGGCCTCGAAAGTGGCGACAGTTTCACAGATCGCAGCCCCCCAGGGATGGCGAGGTCTAATTTGGGTCCGCCCGTGGCGTCACTGTGCTGGGCCCCCCCAGCAGGCCTCGAAAGTGGCGACAGTTTCACAGATCGCAGCCCCCCAGGGGTGGCGAGGTCTAATTTGGGTCCGCCCGTGGCGTCACTGTGCTGGGCCCCCCAGCAGAGCCTCGAAAGTGGCGACAGTTTCACAGATCGCAGCCCCCCGCAGGCAAGACAGGAGGAGGCAAGAGGGAGACGGGACGGGAAGGAGGAAGTGGAGACCACACTGCTCTATTCAAAACGAATACCCAACCAAGGAGGGTTGGGAAAAATACGATCCCCCCCCGAAAGTTGCACGAAGTGTAATTTGGAGAACGCCAGCCCGTCGGGTTGGCAGTGTTCGTGTAAGACGGCGGCCAGCTGGGGGAGGAGGAGGCGGAGGATGGGGGAGGCCGGAGGGGGGGGAGGAGGAGGAGGAGGAGGAGGAGGAGGAGGAGGAAAAATACTATCCCCCCCGAAAGTTGCACGAAGTGTAATTCGGAAAACGCCAGCCCGTCGGGTTTGGCAGTGTTCGTGTAAGACGGCGGCCAGCTGGGGGAGGAGGAGGCGGAGGATGGGGGAGGCGGAGGAGGAGGAGGAGGAGGAGGAGGAGGAGGAGGAGGAGGAGGAGGAGGAGGAGGAGGGAAGGAGGAAGAGGAGGAGAGGAGGCGGAAGAATGAGGAGGGAGGAGAGGGAGGAGGAGGAGGAGGAGGAGGAGGAGGAGGAGGAGGAGGGGAGGAGGAGGAGGAGGAGGAGGATGAGAGGAGGGGGGGGGGGAGGAGGAGGAGGAGGAGGAGGAGGAGGAGGAGGAAGGAGGAGGAGGAGGAGGAGGAGGAGGAGGAGGAGGAGGAGGGAGGAGGAGGGGAGGAGGAGGAGGGGGGGAGGAGGAGGGAGGAGGGGAGGAGGGGGGAGGAGGAAGGAGGAGGAGGAGGAGGAGGAGGATGGGAGCCCCCCCCCCTTTTGCACCAAGGGAGGGAGGGGGGGGGGGCTTCCAACCCCCCCCCCCCCCTTTAAGGGGGGGGGGGGGGGGGCTCACCCCAGCTCCATGAAAGGAGGGGGGGGGGGGGTAGCTTGGAAGCCCCCCCCCCCCTTTCCGGCCACGAAAGAGGGAGGGGGGGGGGAGGCTTCCGAAGCCCCCCCCCCCCTTTCAAAGGGGGGGGGTGGCTCACCCCGGCTCAATTAGAGTGAGGGAGGGGGGGGGGGGTAGCTTGGAACCCCCCCCCCCTTTCCGGACCACGAAAAGGAGGGAGAGGGGGGGGGGCTTCCGAAGCCCCCCCCCCTTTAGCAAGGAAGGGGGGAGGGGGGTAGCTTCAAGCTGGGGCCCACCTTCTAGTCTATCGGGCCCCGCGAGCGCGCTCATCAAATATGTCCTTACTGTCGCGCCCCGAGGCCGGTCGAAAGGGCGGGCTGGGCGTTTCCGTTAAGATTGCCTCACCATCCTGAAGCTTAAACTATTGCATCCGTTTCACAAATGGAGGGCGGGTCGTTTCCAACATGTGGCTTTCGCCGTAGCGCCGCACGCATTCGGTTTACAATTGCAAGAGCTTCACGGATTGAGGACGGTCGGCTTTCAAAATGTGGCTCTCGCTTTAGCGCCGCGCGTATGCGTTCTAAACAAGTGCAAGAGCTTCACGGATTGAGGGTGGTTGGTTTTCAACATGAGGCTCTCACCTTAGCGCCGCGTACATTCGTTTTCAACACGTTTCAAGAGTTTCACTGATTGAGGACGGCTCTTTTTCGAAAGGTCGTTTTCGCTTTAGAGCCGCGCACATTCGTTTTCAACATTTGCAAGTTTTTCCCGGAGTCCCACGGTCAGCGTACCAGAAATTTTGTTCTGGAAGGATGCAGGATGGTGAGGGTGCAACACTTACGCTGATTCGATGTGTTGAAGTCCCAGGAATGGTGTTCTGGCGCGCTTCAGGATTGTCAAGACGCAACAGTCAGGTTGATCCGTGGCGTTGGATTCCCGAACAATGTGTTTTGACATGCTTCAGGGTCTTCAAGCGGTTGTCTCCCAACGGGGCAGTTCCATCAATGGAAATGAACCCTTGCAGGGGCCTATGAAGAGGGCTGCTGCTGCTGCGAACGGTGGCATGACGATCAACGTGTGCTCACCATTGGTTGGCCAACTCAAATGCCATTTATAAAGAAGAGAACTGGACAGAGAAGACACCAAGGACACGACAGGGAGAGCAGCGAAGCCAAGCAAGACCGCCAGGCCTGCTCCCCATGGTCGATCCGTGCAGAATCCCCGAAGAGTTGCCAATGGCGCGCTCTTCTGCCCACGCGTCCTTACATGGCGATGTTTGGCTCTGTATGGTTGTTGGCCATATTGGACACAGTGTTATGTGGTTGCTTCTGCTGAGGTTTAGGTTAGCGGTGAGCATGTGATGTACACTTTGGCACGCCAAGCACACCTCCGGCAGGTTACGGGGGCGGCGGATTGAAGACGCTTGCGGCGAACCGCAGCCCCCGCCCGCCAGTTGAAAGCGTTTTTGTGGCTACGCTGTTGGGACCCTTGTGGCATTTCAGGGCCGTCTTGTCTGTGAGTGGAACCGTCTTGGGGGCGTCTTCGGTCGTCTTGGGGCCCTCTTGGGGGTCGCCTGGGGACGTATTAGGGCTATCTTGGAGGCCTCTACGGCCGTCTTCGGCTGTCGGAGAGCAGGAAAGGCGAGAGCGCGACAATTATTAAAAACCTGAGGAGACAATGGTGGTGGCTTTCTGGGGTCTACTTGGAGCCCTCTTGGGGCGTCTTAGGGGCCTCATGAGCCGCCTTGTGGGCATGTTTGCTCGTATTGGAATCGTCTTGGGCAGCCTTGGTGCCCTCTTGGAGCAATCTTGGCCGTTTCGGACCGTCT